TTGAAGGCAGAGGACCCATTCCTTAAGTGGGTTCTTTTCCAGGCTCAACAGATCCACAGAACTGAAAGAGACGAAAACAAAACAAAAAATGGACTAGCCCACTGCCTGCTCTTGCTTTCATTCCTCTCCATTCTCCACACCTCACAGCAAAGTCCACCTTTCTACCCTTCAAGAGGTGGACCTGCTTGCTGCCAGCCAGGCCCCAGGGTCAGGAGCCCAGTCCTGCACGTCCCCAGTCCCCAGGCTTGGGGCAGGCCTGTTCTCCCCAGAACCGCCCTCCGTTGCCGAGGCCGCAGGCGCCTCCCTCCCTAGGCTCCCCCAGGTCGCGGCCTGCAGAAGGAAGGGCCCAGACTGCAGAGTCACTCCCTTTGGGTTACCTGACACCGCCTGGGGCAGCCTAGCCCTTTAGAGAAAAATTTCCCGGACAGCATGGGGAGGCCAGGCACCTTCCAGCGCAGACACTCCAGGAAGTACTCAGCTACCTCGTCGCTCCCTTCCTCCCCTGAAGATTTTACTTATTTGTTTTTAGAAAGAAGGGAAGGGAGAGAGGAAGAGAGGGAGCGAAACACCGATACGGCTGCCTCTCGCCAGTCCCCAACCAGGGACCCCGCTGCAATCCAGGCATGTGCCCTGACCAGGAATCGACCCGGTGACCCTCTGGTTCGCAGGCTGACACTCAATCCACTGAGTCACACCAGCCAGGGAGCACACAGCCCTCTTTACTGACACTTCCCTGCCTGGATGGGACGTCATCCCTTGTCACCGACAAGGAGCCCATGTCTGGGCCACATCCAGGTCCTCACCCTCACTGCCCAGGGTCCTAGGGGAATTCGTCTTCCCTGGGCCTCAGCATCCTCATCTGCACAATGGGGCAATACTCCCTACGAAATGGGCTAATGACGGCCTGGGCGTCAACACCGTCCTGTCTGCCCAGCGTAAGTGCTGGGGGATGGGACTGGCACCGGAGTCCTTTCCCTCTCGGCCTCTCGTTCCTGCTCCGTCCCCCTGAATGTGCTTCCTTCAGAGAATATCAACCAAACGCTATGCGTGGGCTGTTCTGGACCTGGATTCAAACACAGTGAGGAGTTTAGGAGGCGACCAGGGACGTTCCACCTGAAGTGGGAACCAGGCGACACAGGAGTTGGTGCCCGCGCTGTGACCCCGGCCTGTGGTCAAGTCAGGAAATGTGCTTGTTTTCTAGAACCGCACACTGAGGTTTGTAGGGGTAAAATAACATCAATGCCCAGGCTTTGCTTTCAGTACTTCAGGGGGGAAAATTGAGGAAGCAAGAGTGGCAGTCTTGACAACTATAGAATCCAGGTAGGGGAAAGTTCACTGTATTGTTTTTAATCTACTTTTTGAGAGACTTTTCAACAAATCCTCACCTGAGGATATGTTTTTTCACTCATTTTAGACGGGGGGGGGGTTGGTGGCGAGAGGGTGGGGGTGGGAAGAGAGAGAGAGAAACGTCAATCGCTTCCCACAACCTTCTGGTGCACAGGACAAAGCTCCAACCAGCTGAGCCGCCAGGCCACGGCCTTAATCTACTTTTGTGTTTAAAATTTTTTCACAGTTGTAAAAAGTAACTAGCAGGCAGTCTAGCTACTGGAATGTAGTTTGCAAACCAGCAGCGTTGGCACCACCTGGAAGAAGAGATGCCGGAATTACAAAAAAACACAAGGTGCCCAGGGATATTTGAGTTTCAGGTAAACAACAAATGTTATTTTTAGTATAAGTACATCCCATATGATATTTTACTTATACTGAGAAATCCTTCATGAAAATAACTTGACAGCTTCGCATAAAACTAAATGTGTTTTACGACCTATCCCTGTACTCAGGGCGTTTATCGCAGAGAAATGGAGAGTTAATATTCACACGAAAACCCGTGGGCAAGCGTTTATAGTAGCCTGATTCACAAAAGCCCCGAATTGGAAAGAATCCCGATGGCCTCCAGCCAGTGAATGGCTCAACAGACATGGTGCGTTCACACCGCGGAACACCACTCAGCAATAAAAAAGAACGAGCTACTGATACGTGCAGCAACTTGGTTGGGTCTTTAATGCTGAATGAAAAAAGTCACGCCCCAAAGGTTACATACTATGTGGTTCCATTCATACCACATTATTCCAATAGCGAAAGCGTATAGAAACGGAGAAGAGAGTGGTTGTTAAGGTTGAGATGAGAGTGGGTGTGAGGGGAGTGGCGGGCTGTAAAAGGGCAACACTTTGTATCTTTTTTTGTCCTTCCCCAAGGATACATATATACTTTTTTTTTTAAAATTGATTTGAAAGGGGAAGTGGGGGGGCAGGGAGAGAAAGATCAATCAGTTGCTTCCCATAGGAGCCCCAGCTAAGCCACAAATCTATGTACGTGCCCTGACCAGGGGTCGAACCTGCAACCGTTTGGTGTATGGGACAAAGCCCCGACCAACTGAGCCACCCGGCCAGGGCAACATTCTGTGTCTGATTGTCCTGATGTCAACATCCTGGCTGTGCTATTGTGCTCCGGTCTTACAAGATGTTACTACTGGGGGAGAACTGGGTAAGGGGGACAAAGAAATCTGTCATTTCTTACAATTGCATGTGAATCTACAGTGATCTCAAAACAAAATCGTTTAATTAAAAGGACAAATAAGCAACAAAAAGTTATTTGGTGTTTATCTGAGATTCAGACTCCAGGGACCTCCCTGGAGCTCGCTGGAAGGCAGACCCCAGGCTCCTTTGGACCCACTGAATCAGAACCTGTGCTCTGACTAGCGGCTCCCAGCTCCTGCAGCTCCGGGACCCCAGGAGCCTGTGACAGCAGCCACGAACACGTGCCCTCAAGCCGTTTATGATACTACTTCCAACAGCCCAACAGGAATTAGCTGGGCATCATACCCAAGACCCAGTTGCACAGGACACTGCACTTCAACCCTCCTGAGGGGCTTTCCCTCGGAACATAGAACAGAGGGGACCCTGCCCTGCCTACAGAGCCTGCACAGCCCCGGCTCTGCTCCGCTCTCTCACCGCCTCCCCGGCTGTTGCCCAGGTGACAACGCACCTGTGTTTCTCAAACGCCACACCCACTCCCACCACAGGGCCTCTGCACTTGCGGTTCATTTCTCTGAGCACTCTACCTCTCCAACTTCCGGTGGCTGCCTGCCCCAAAGGTCACCTCCCCAGAAAGGCCTTCTCTGAGCCTATCCAGGCTTGGTCTCCTTGCCCCACCCAGGTCACATCCCATCACGTCGAACCAATTTATCTTTTTTCATATCAGCTGTTTGTACCTACGTCTACTGAGCATTTCCTGGGAGTTAGAAACTGTGACAGTTCTGCAAAGGTCTGGGTAATAAAAGTCAGGCAACCGAGTTAATATGTAATTAATTAAAAATGCACTTTGTTTGGTGGACAGAATCATTTAAAAGCACCCTGAACTCGGAAGAATACATATCCAAACAGGCCATTTCTAGGGCACCTGCCTGCCCCGGCCTTCAACACTCCCCCTTCCCCAGCTGGAAAACTCTCGTGTCTCTAGAACGCAGCTCACACTTCTCCTCCTGGCCTTCAAGGCCCTGCTCGTCTCGCCCCAAGCCCTTCCAGAGGCACTTTCCTTCCTCCCCCAAACACGGTGCTCGCCTGCTCCGGCCAGACAGCCCTCTGCATTGTTCCCTGAACACTCCACACGCAGCCCTGCCTCCATGCCTCTGCCCTTTGCCAATTGCGGGCTCCCTGTTCATTTGGATGACCAATGACTGGGAGTTCAATGAAAATTTATGAGCAGCAACTGTGCTCCCACGATGTGCTATATGGATAAACAAAGCACCTGCTATGCCAGGTGTTGCAGGTACTAGCAGAACACAAATGACTCTCATTCAAAGCACTCAGAGCACGGAGTCCTGAGTGGGGAAAACAGGCTATGGGCGTGTTCTAAGCAGGAGAGGGGTGTGGGAATTCGGGGGAGGGAGACAGAGTGGCTGTTCACGAACATGGTACACATTTTCATTTGCTTGGGTCACGAATACGGGACTCTCAGAAGCACTGTGCTTCCAAGTCTTGCTCACTTATTCCCAGGCGTTCGCTCTGCTTTCCTGCCACAAGTGTTTGTGCTTTCTAAGCATTCTTGGCATGTAACAATGCGATTCATTTTTGTATTCTGTTTTTTTTTTTTATCCAACCACCTTCCAAAAATGCCTATTGTTTTTCTAAGGATTTGCTTCCATTTCTTCTGTGTTTCTATGGGGTCAATCACATCGATAAATAATAGCAGTTTTATTTCTTTTTCTACGTGAGACTGCCATTTGAGGGGGTCAAAAACTCTCGGATATCAGCGAAGGCCTGTGGCCCAGCCTCCACGGTTCCCCTTTGCTCTCGGGACAAGCCCGTCGTTCCGCTTGCCCACCGCTTTCCTCTCTTACCGCGGATTTTGGCTTGAGGCTTGTTTTCCTTTCAGGGGAGGGAAGGTGGCTTTGGAGAGTTGTCAGATGTTGTGTGAGCCTGGCAGTGCACTAAAAATGATATTTTATTGCCCTGATGGGTGGCTCAGTTGGTTGGAGCATTGTCCTCTATACCAAAAAGGCTGCGGTTTTGATCCCTGGTCAGGGCACGTGCCTGGCTTGCAGGTTCGACTCCCGGTCAGGGTGTGTGCCAGAAGCAGCCTACCTCCGTTTCTCTCTCTTCTCTCTCCTTCCCTCTCTCTCTAAAATCAATAAACACATCCTGGGGTGAAGATGAAAAAATTCATTATATTTTATTCTGGAGTGAATTATTTTGCAGTAGGGTGGAGGGAAAACTCCAGGAATAGCTGCTGAAATTCCAGGAAAGGTATATTTTTCCCAGTGAGGAAACCAAGGCTCACAGAAGTGGAATGACTCATTCAAGGTCACATGGCCGGTCAGAGGGCCGGTCTAGAATTTGAACCCACGCGGGCAGCAGAAAGCCAGGCTCTTTCCTGCCTCCCCTCTGTCCCAAGCTGCCTCCAGGGAGCCATTTGGCCCGGGGCTCTCCTGGCCGCCTTACCTGGTGCAGGGGGATGACGAGGAAGGCCCCGCCGCCGGCGCACTCAGTCACGACTGCAATGAAGTGGGGGTTCACGGCGCAGAAGTGGTTGTCGTGGACGCTCTGGGTGATGGGCACGGAGTCGTAGCAGTTCTCCTTGCTGGCCGGTTTGCCAAAGACGTGGCGGAACTTGGAGCTCCGGTACTGGGGGTGCCATGACATCTGCGGGGGACGAGCGGGACAGAAGGAGTGTGAGGCTCACTGCCTTGACCGTGGGACACACAGGGGTCTCACCTTGAGAGTATGAGAGGGCGCAGCCACGAAAGTGGCGTGCCACGAAGGTCAACCAAGTGAACAGGCTGTAATGGTGGCTACTTCTGTGGACCTGGGGAGGTGATGTATGATTACTGCTGACTTGTCTGCTTTTCATCCCTCCAATGTGAAGACAAAAAAGCAGAAACACCATAGAGAGACCTCACCACATTCCCAGTCCACTGTCCTGCCAGACAGACTAGCCACCCTGCCTCCTCCCAGCCCTGCTGGGGGTGGTAACGCTGGGTCCTCTGGAGCCAGCCTGCCTGTGCTCCGCCTCCAGCTTTGCCTCTTGCCAGCTGGGCAGGCAAGTGGCTAAACGTTGGAAGCCTCTGTTTTCTCATCTGTAGAATGGGAACAACGAAAGTATCCTTCTCACAGACCTGTCATGAGGATTAAATTCGATGATATACTTAGAGCCTTCGATCAACAGGAAGTTACGATGACCACCACTGTTATCACCCAGGCATCCTCAGTTGTCCTCGCTTTTCTTACAGCCTCGTGTTTGTTCCCTCAATATTTCCTGGGTGCCGCCAGGTGACCAGGCCTGCACCAGGCACTGGGGTTTTGGAAAGAGTAGATCTGAGCCCACCCTTACAGGAGCAAGGGGTCCTGTGAGTGAGGCCACTGAGGGGGGCCAGGCCACTGGGATGCAGGGGGTTTTAGGTAACAATGGAGGTTTGTACATGGCAGTCAGGGAGGGCTTCCCAGAGGAAGTGACACGTGAGCTGTGATTTGAAGGGCGAGCAGGAGTTAGCCATGTTGGCAGGACAGGAGAGAGCAGGTGGGAGGTGTCCCAGGCAGATGGAATGGCTTGAGAAAAGGCCATGAGATAGAAGAAAACAGAATGTTTGGGGAATTACCGGTAGTTTGGCAAGATTAACAAGAAGATGTTAAAAAACTATATCCACACATCTGTAGGCATATAGGTTGGGCGACGTGAGTGAAGAGGACACCAGTGGAGGCGGGCAGAGCCAGATCACGAACGTCCTCCCCTCAGCTTCCTGCTGCTCAGGCCCAGGCCCTCGCCCCCAACCCTGAAGACCCCCCCGGAGCCTCCCATCTACGCTCCCCACGGAGGCCAGAGGGATCTTCGGGGTACCAGGCCTGCTGGGCTCCTCACCACCCCAGCCCCCTGCCCCTCTGTTGCCCTGCATTGCTGCCCTACAGGTTCAAGGACAAACTCAGCCTGTCATTCCAGGCCTTCTGACTGGGTGCCACCCCATATTCCAAGATGGGCTGTTTCCTGCTCATCTTCTGAAGGGCGCCTTCCAGAGGAAGGACACCGCCCAGCCTCCCTCGGGTCTGCTCTTGCATTTCCAGGTCTCTGGGGCCTTCGCCCTTGCCTTTCCCTCTGCCTGGCTTGCCCTCCCCAGCCACCGATTGCCATCCTCCCATTGCTGGCTCCCAAGCCCCCGGGTCTTCTTCGATGCCTTGAGTGGTGAAGATCTGGCTCCCCTCTGCTGCCCACAGCCATCTCCCCTCCCTGCCCTGAGGTCCCTGACACTGTCTGCCCTGATTTGGAGTTTGGCGTCTCAACTTCTGTACCAGCTGGGAGGTTTGCGGCAGGAGGCCTGGGCTCCGCTCCGGGGGTGCCCAGCACAGTGCACTGCTCACCCCAGGCCCTGGCAACTGCCCAGGGGCTGCATACCCACGGGGTCCAGACAAAGAAGGCATCTGCCCAGCCTGGCAGCTGGCCCCAAAGGCTCTTCTCTGTGCTCAGTTCAAAGGCACAAGATTAGACTGTTGACCTCAGGAAGTCATGGTGACCAAAGGGCCTGACCCACGGGCCACACCCTGACAGGCAGCCCACCCGCCTCACAGGGGCAGGTCTGTGCTGGGAAGCCCAGACGTGTCCACTATCCTTTCTGGCTGCGTTTGCCAGAGCTACAGGAAGCAGCACAGAGGCAGGGACAGACTAATGAATGCCCATCTGATTCCAGAAAGGTTGGAGGAGGCCGTACGGAAATAGAGAGAACACGAGACAGAAGGAAGTAGAAGAGCCATGAGGACAAAATGGGGAGAAGGGGACACGCAGGAACAAAAGAGATCACCTGGAGCGTGGGAGAGTTAGGCTCCCGAACGTGTGCTGCCAGGTGCCCCACCCAGAGGAGGTGGGCCTCAGATTTGGGTCTGAGCTTCCTAGCAGTCATTTCGACAAGGGAAACAGAATCAGAAAGGGATTTAGTCAGTGTGTGTAAGATAAGAGTCACCACCTGCTACGTGGCAGCACTGCTTTTCTCTGCCCTTGCAGAAAGGAACACTGGGGACAGAGACCTCCCTGGGGAAGATGCCCTAGGCCTGGGCTGGGGTGGGAGGGCAGGGAGAAGTCAACACAGCTCCAGGCGCCCCCCACCTCACTCTGAGCAGCAGTAAGGGTGGGAAGGACCTGTCTATGGCCAGTGGCGATGCTCACCAGACTGTCCACCACTCCCCGCACATCCCAGCCTCCCTGCAGTTCGGCAGCCGCAGTCCAGCCACTGGTGGTAATGACATTTGCCATTTCCAGGCTGAAGCGTAAGACCTGCCTGTGGCCCTCCCTCCTGAACGCTTGTCTTTGGTGCAAGAGATGAGAAGGCCACGTGTTCCAGGTGGTACGGCCTCCATCATCCTGGGCCCCCGAGAGACTGGATGGAACCAAATAGCTCCCCAGTGACTCATGTTGGACATGTGGCATGTCAGAAAGGAGCGTACAGAGTGAGCCACTGAGACGGCAGGGTTATTTGTCACAGAGCACAGCCTACCCATCCTGACTCACACGTCACCCTGTGCAGGCCCCACCGGCGCTCATGGGCAAACAGGTGCCTGTGCATGGCCAGCACGCAGGAGGCCTGCAGAGAAGAGGTGGGCGAGGGCAGGACTCAGCCCACTGCAGAAGCCATGTTCAAGGACCTGGACTCCTGGACGAGGGCACAGGGGAGATGCTGCGGGGCTTAAAGCAGGAGGGTGAGGAGACCAGGTTTCCTCTCGGGTACATTTCCCTGACTACTGAGAGGAAAAGAGGGTGGACCAAATGAGAGGTGAGGGTCACCTGGGCTGAAATGGGGCACAGGGGTGGAGAGGAGAGGAGAGGTGGGAGGGGGCTGACCAGCCTTGGCACCAGGGTGCCCGCCCGTGGTGGGCTGTGGGCAAGGGGGCGAGTCTGCTGATTGTCAATGGCCCCAGCCCCTCCAGCCACCCCCAGTGCTTTCCCCCCACCTGGCAGTTGGCTGTCTGGCCAAGGTCAGGGTCAGGGTCAGGGTCAGGGTCAGGGGGGCCTCAAGAAGCCAGGACAAGAACCCTATTTGAGCTCACAGCCCCCTCTACAGAAATGACAACTCACAGTTCTGGGTGGCTGCTATGCACCAGGTGCCATTCCCTGTGCTTCTCCTGTGTGACCTGAACAGGTAGGTGCTACCTGGCTTCCCATTATGGGTGCAGGGCCAGAGGCAGAGAAGCAAAAAGCAACCCCTCCCCCAGGTCTCACGACTAAATAGTGGAGCTGGGAGCTGAACCGAGCTGTCTCTGCAGCCTCCAGCTCCCGGTTCCTGAAGTTCGTGACCATGATGACACCCTGGATCCCACCTCAGCCCATGACCATGATCACCCCCACTTTACCTAAAAGGAAAATGAGGCTCAGCAAAGTAAGTGGACACCATTCAGAAAGGGGGCTTTGGCATCCACTTGTGAAGCTGGCTGATCTTGGAGCACAGTGAACATCCGGGGCCTTCTGTGCCCCTGCCCATGGCTCTCCTCACCCCACCCCTTCTACCACCTTATCCTTACGGCCAAGGCTCTTCCAGACTTACTACCATGGAGGGAAACTTACAGAACTGGGGGATGGAGCAGCACCAAGCCAGGAGGCCGCCTGTCACTTCACCTGTCACTGCGGCACGGGAGTGTGCACACAGGTGTGCTGGTGAAGCTTGTGTGCCTGTGAGTGCACTGTGTGCACGTCTGTGCATGGGCGCTGCATCCACCGAGGTGCTCCTGTGCACGCACGTGCGTCTGTGCAGATATTCGATTGTATCTGCATGCACGTGTACATCAGTGCACTCACCAGTTTCAGGACTCAGCAGTTCTGAGAATGGGAGTTTTATTTTCCCCACAAGCAAGCACTTGCTGGAAATGCGGACTGTCGCCGCGAGCCCTCAGCACGGCGAGGCCTCGCCCACAGGCTGGGCTGCCCCATCCTGCCCGGTCCCACCTGGCTGGGCCCACATCAAAGCCGAGGCAGGCCTTCCCAGGTGTGGCACAAAGCAAGGGTGGCATCACTTCTGTCCCGTGCATGCTTTGTGGCCCCGAGGCCAAGGGATTAGGCTCTGTGTGCCGCGAATTCCCTGCCCCCCACAGGGATTTAGTTAACTCTGGGTTTCCCATCCCACTGAGTGGAGTTCTTAATGGCTGACATAGAATGGCTGTGTCTCTGTCCCACCCCTCACAACTCTCCTGGGGACTGTCCCCTCTGTTTGGTGCAGGGGAAGTGACTTGACCTAGGCCATTGGAGTAGGAACTGTGCAGGTGGGACGCAGAAGCCAAATCCTGGCCAGATCTCCTCTTCCTGCCACATGCTCCTCTCTGCCAGGGGAGAGAGACAGACAGACAGACAGACAGACAGACAGACGGACAGATAGAGAAAGTATCCTGCCTGCCTCCAAAGGCTTGTCTCCCCAGCCCAGCCCTCCATCACTGCAGGCAAGGGTTAGCTGCAGGGTGGCGGCGAGGAAACCCAAACTGGGTGTGGTGCAAACCAGCATAATGATTTATTCATTCATCGCGCTCTTCCAGGCCTCGGGGAAAGAGTGAAGTTACCTGATTTGATCTCAGAGTGTCCGGGATCGGTAGGTGTCTGGAGCTGCCGGCTACCATCGTCCCTTTGTAAGTTTGGGGTTCCAGGTGTAATGTTTGGAGTTTTAGTTTATTTTTTCCTCTTAAAACCTGACCTCGTGGTCAGCAAATTAGCCCCACACGTGCCTCCCGAGAGAGTCCGAGCACCACGCTTAGGCTGGCCGCAGTTAACAGAGGGAGATTAGAACCACAAGTTTCCTAGTTTTAAAAAAATAAAAAAAATGTTACTGTAAGAGCACAGAACACGCCATTTGAAGGTGCTCTGCTAAGACCAATAATTAACACAATAAACACCTAGTTATGGGTGCGTCCCTCACCTTGAGGCTAATCTTTGACAGACTATCACCCATCACGGAATTTGCCCTGATCCCAGCCTTGGCCCCAAACTGGACTGGGAAAGCCCCTCTCTACTTCACCCTGGCTCCTCACCAGGGCCTCCGATTCCCCTGACAGACGGCGGGTTCTGTCAGCCAGCGCTCCGCACCGGCCATTCCCCTTGGAACCCTCCTTCCTCTCGGGGGTGAAATAAGACACCACAGTTCTTGGCCACAGGTCTTTTCTCCTGTCATTTCTGTCCCCCTGAGGCCAGGCCCTGGTTAGCGGTCACTGCTGGGCACAGGTGCCTTTATTTCTGCCCTCCACAAGCCAGCTACAGGTCTGAAGGGACAAGGGTTTCATCCCTCAGTCTTAGTTTTCTTTTCTCCTCCAAAGCAGGTCGAGGCATGGTCTCTCTCCCTGGGGGGAAGCTGATGCACTTTCCCAGTTTGCCCAGAATGGGGGGGGGGAATTCCAGGCTGGAGGGGGTCCAGCACTGAGATCCGGGGGGAGTCCCCCTACCGCCTACCCAGAGGTCTCCATAAAACTTGGATAGGATTTGCAAGCAGTGACTAAGTCCTAGTAACCCTGACCCCGACAGCTTGCCTGTGAAAGAGAAGGCTCTAGTACTGACTTCTTAAAGGGCTCAACATCCTGAACCAGAGAACAGAACATTTCAAAGCCAAAAAAATCCAAGAAGGTTTGTAAAGAGAGGTGAATATGATTAAATTCAGTCCCCAACCTTCATCCATCATTACTTAGTGCTTATTCTGTGCCAGGCCCTGTGGTGGGGGCAGGGGTAGGGGCCAGAGACAAATGACCCAGTCACCGCCTTGCACAGGTTCCGGCCGCTCGGGGGAATGCCCAAGGACAGGACTGGATGAGCGGCCACCACCTGGACAGGCGGCTAAAGCACGGGGCAGCGGTTTGCAACTCTGAATGCACATTAGAATCACTTAAATTGCATTGCTGGCTGTGGGACCCAGGCACCAGCTCTGTCCAGCACAGTCCCACACGGCCTCTAAATTAACGTTAAAATGAAACAAACGTAAAGTTCAGCTCCTTCGCCACACTGCAACGTTTCAAGTGCTCACAGCCACATGTGGCTGTTTGGGGATCCGGCTGAACATTATGATTACAGAGCATGTCTGTCACACCTGTGTGACTCTGGGCAAGTTACTTAGTGTAACTTCCTCACCAGGAAAACCAGGCATTGTAACAACGACAACAAAAGAATAGCTAACCCTTACATTGCTTACTATGTGTGAAGTAGGTTCCAAGTATTAACAACCCTCACGACAATTCCATAAATACTCTCACCCCATTTTTGCAGATGAGGACACTGGGGCACAGAGAGGTTAAGTTGCTTGCCCAAAACCACACAGCTAATAGGCAGCTGAGCTGGAATCAAAGCCAACCTGCTGAGTCCCAGGCCCTCCCTGTCTCACAGCACTGCCCTGATGATTAAGTGCGACAATCTGCACAGCACAGGGAGCAATGCTGGGTGAGTGCTTAGCACTCGACACATGTCTGCTGATGCCGCTGTCGTGGTCCCAATGTCTACAGGACCCTGAGCTTTGATTTAGGGCATGACAGGTACATGCCGAGGGCCCAGCATTTGGGGGATTTAGAGTCCCAAATCGGAAAGTGCAAGGCAGCCCGCTAGGCACTAAGTCCCAACCCCTGGTGCTTACCATGTTGACGGAGGGAACAGATAAGCAAAGCGAGAGCTAACAACCCGTGCTGGTCAAGAAGAACCAGAAGAGTGTATTTGTGCATCTTTTTGGCAGGGCACTCCAAGCAGAGGCCAGCGGCTGAGCTCAGCCCCATGCTCAGGGGACTAGGGTTCTTGGGGCTCTTGGCAGGGAGGGGTGGTGGCATGGACCCCCCTAGGACGCTCTCCACCCCCCATATCAGTATTGGAGACAGGGGCCTCTTGCAGCGACCAGCAGAGAGCAGGTTCTCTCTGCCCCACCCCCCACCTCCTTTTCCCTGCCCCCAGCCCTCAGGCCCTCTGGTCCGCACAGATGCCCAGCCACAGGCCCACAGGAAATACAGAGGGAATCAGAAAGCCAGCCAAGAAAACGCCTCTTTCCACCTGATGAGATTAAGCCTGAGGGAGCGCCTCCTCCTGACATCTGATGCTGTCCAGAGCCAGCTCCCTGGGCCCTGAGAGGGAGGTGCCCCCTCAGATGCCCCCACCTCCCTGCCCCAGGGTCCCTCCCTGCTCTCTGCCCCTCTCTCAGGCTGCGCCCGGCCTGGGCAGCCTTTCCTCTTAGTGGCTCTGTTGCTCCTTGCCCCTCTTCTGCCCAGCCCAGGCTTCTACCCTGCCCCCACCCTGACCCTGTCATTGCCCTCGGGACCCCCTTATCCTCAGGAAAAAGCCCTTGGCTGGACCTGGGGTGTGAGCCTCCCGCCCCCCCCTTCTCCTCTCCACAGACCTGCCCCTTGAGCCAAACTGATTTATCCACTCTCCCCTCAAAGCATCATATTTTCCCAGACACCTCATCTCTGCTCACGCCGCCGCTGTCCACCTCGAGCGGAGTCCACAGGCACTTAGCTGGGCTCCAAGGACGTCCCCTCCTCTCACAGCACCTCTCTGCTCAGTGCGAACAGAACCGCCTCCAGGGGGCCTCCCAGGCTGCCAGGACTGAACAATGAGGCAGCCCAGGGGAGAGGAGGTACCAGGTTCGAATTCTAGGCCTCACTTGAGCCTGGGCCTCAGCCTCCCACCTGCAAAAAGGTACCCTAGTAGCTAACTGACAGAGCCTTGCCAGGATTACACGAGATAATGGATGTAAAATACCCTGCACACGTCTGGTACGAGGGAGGCGCTCAGCTGGTGGGTGCCCCCCTTCCTCCTGTCCAGCTCCATGTGCTTCTTCCTTCTTCCTCTGTCCATCCATCTGTCTGCCCATCTGTCCACCCATCCATTCATCCCCAAATCGCCATCCCTTTTTCCTTTGTGTGCCCACAGGCCAGATCCCTAGGTAGGCACTGAGGGGGAGACCCACCTGGCTCCTGTCCCCACCCCCTGCCCCCTGGGCATGAGGACCTGGGGGCTGAGCCTGTTCGTCCATGGCAGGTGTGCCAGTCAGGTTGGGGAGTCCGAACTCTGACACCCGGTTGCTCCCTGGCCCAGGGCAAATCTCATCCCTTCTCAGGTTTTGACTTTCCACCCACAGAGCGGGAATGCCTCGGCCCTGCCCACCTGCGGAGAGATCCACCGAGGGCTCCGCAGTCTGCACTCGCCAAAGCCGGTGGAGCTGTCCGCCTGGCAGCGGCCCCAGTGCTCAGAGGGCTGGTGCCTTCCTGCCTTCGCCCTCTGGGACACAGAGCAGGGATTCTTCCTGTTCGTCCCCCCTTTGAAGCCTTGACCAAAACTCCACGCAGATTTATTGCCCCGCAATCTCCTTATCTGGCAGTTTCGAGAGATAAGGGACTCTCCGGACTTTCTAAAAACGTCTCCAGCAGCCTGACAACTTGAAGTCTCCACTCCCTGCTCACTGTGCATTCCTTGGGCAGCTTCTGGATCTGTCTTTAGACCGAGAGGGATACCGAGGCCCAGAGAGGGAGACTGTCTTTTGCATTCTGTTGTCAGCAGGTCCTTGCCTCGGACCCACAAATCAGCACACAGCCTGCTCTGTTGCAAGGGGCCTGGGACCCAGAGTGAGTTCCAGCAGCATCACTGAGGCCCTCCTGGAGCCCGTCATGTCCTGGGCACTGTGGGGCACAGGCAGTGAGGACCCTGACAGGGGCCACTGCCCCTCAGGAGCTCACATTGATGGGAGAGGCTGATGTCAGTAACCAGCAAACTCAATTCACAGCAAAAAGACTAAACAGGCTATAGCAGGAAGCTGGGACTCTGGGGGCACTGGGAGGGGGCTGCAGGGCAGATTCTGGAGCTAAACCGGAAAGGCCACGTGGAGCGAGCCCAGCACAGAATGAAGGGAAGGGACCCCCAGTGGACGGCTCGGTGCTTGGCCACACTGGAGCACCGTGGCTCGGGGCTGTGGTGAAGACAGGGGCATGCCGTGCGCGGTGGGGAAGCAAAAGGCACATCCGAGAAATCACAAGGGTCCGGTGTGGCTGGGATCTGGGCGAATGCCAGGAGCAGTGAGGGCCACAGCTGGGAAGGCGGGGCGGGCAAGGGCCCCGAATTCCAGCTACAGAGCCGGCACTCGAAACTATGGGAGGTATCAAAGTTTGTGACCCGGGGTGTGATCTGATCAGAGTTGACGTGGATTTAGGCCCTGCAATTAAGTAGTTAGAACGTTCGCCCTGGAAAAGTACAGGGTGGGGCAAAAGTAGATTTACAGTTGAGGATGCAAAACAGGGAGCCTAGTCTTGTATCGTTATTTATTAATTATCGTATTTTTCCATACGAACACAGTAAACCTACTTTTGCCTCACCCTGTATTTTTTAAAAAATATTTCTTATTTACTGACTTTATTTTATTTTATTTATTTACTTTTAGAGAGGGGGAAGGGAGGGAGAAAGAGGAAGAGAAACGTCAGTGTGTGGTTGCCTCTCACGTGGCCCCCACTGGGGACCTGGCCTGCAACGCATGCATATGCCCTGACTTGGAATCGATCCGGCAACCCTTTAGTTCACAGGCCTGTGCTCAACCCACTGAGCCACACCGAGCAGGGATCTTATTTACCGACTTTAGAGAGAGAAAGAAAGATTGGGGGAGGGAGAGAGAGAGAGTTGTTCCACTGATTTATGTATTCATTGGTTGACTCTTATATGTGCCCTGACTGGGGATTGAACGCACAACCTTGGCATATTAAGATGATGCTCTAACCAACCGAGATACCTGGCCAAGGCCTGTATTTTCTTTCTTAACTTTGGGCTGTGTCTAAGGAAG